CGTTGCTATACCACTTGTGGTGGACGACTGTAGGACCCAGTAGATAGTATCCTGGGCACATCGATGGAATAACTGCCTTTGTAGGAGGCTTTGAGATATAAATATGGAAGACGATGTCCCCTGAAAAATCGTGTAATAAATAAAACTTGACAGCTCGATTTTTCGGAATTATGTCGCCAACCGTAAACACACCTAGCCGCAGAATTCTTTCTTACGGGACCGATGGTATTGGTTGAGTTTGTAGTTCAGGTTTAGACTTCGTTTAGTTCGGTCTCCTTTCTGATCTTTTTGTTTAGTTGAGCTTAATCTATACTATTTTTTCAAGTATATTTATACAACTAAATTAAAAGCTAAACTAGGCTAAACGTAAAATAAAACTAATAAACTATGTAATAAGATAAAAAACAAACTAACCTAAAAGTAATAAGACTAAAGGTAAACAGAAGTCTGGGATCTAGAGGTTACGAGTGTGGGCGATCAAATTGCCGATTTTTCAATTTCACACATTCAAATTATGTTAAAACATACTTGCCTACTATTTTCCGTGTTATGACAGCTTGCAACATGGCAAAAATAGGTGTAGGTGTGCAGCTTGGTCTGTCCTGGGTGAAGACAAAAGGTGGCGACCTCCCGCGCGGCGCAATTGAGACACAGCCCGGCATCTACATATGCCGTGTCTGGCACGAGGGTGAACAAATTCCCGGCAAGTACTATCTAAGACATACCGTTGCCTACATCTCTTACGCTGGCGGGGAACACCATAAGCCTGAATGTGAAGTTCTCTGCGACACTAAGTGCCTTGGGCAGTCTTGCTGGTAAGCACAACTACTGAATCTCATGCACTGCTATACTGTAACGTACGGGCAGTTTTTCGCATGGCATAGTAGTTTCTTAAAGTGAAAGTTAGGCAGCTAAGATTGGTTACATAACCGTTTGCTGTGTATAACTCGTGCCCGCCTGTAGTTGATTTTCATTGGCGGGAAATAAGATTTTCTGGATCCAGGAGGGATTCATTTGAGACGTTTCTGGCGTAAAATAAGGTCCTTTTCTAGTGCAACGCAAAGCCAGTAAGTTATAGTATGTGTTAGTAGATAGCCTAGGACAGAGGTCGGCACCTTTTTAACTCAGAGAGCCAAAAAAGCAAATATTTGGAAATATATTTCAAAAAAGCCATATAGTA